CTGAAATGGTATAAATTGACAGCACACTAACCATTGATACTTATGAGTTCTTGATCTGTAATCCAGTGGTGTCGTGAAGCTGCCAACTCCTTCACAATGTCATTTCCTGCCATGTCTTGACCTGAACAATACCATATTGTGTTAATGCAAATTTAAAATGTGTCACTTTATTCGTCAGTAAGAAATGTGATGAATTGTCAGCACTGATACTTTTATGTGCAAAACATGTCATCTGCCTGCTTGTTTATCTTTCAGAGTGAGGAAGATATAAGTGTTGAACAAGCGCAGTCTCATCATCTTGCTCAGCTGCTTGCGCTGCAGCTCCCCGGCAGGGCTAACCTTTCTTGAACTCTATTTAAGTGCTGTCGGTTTTGTATATTATTTTGTCGGTGTGTTTATTTGCACTGGTGGCGATTTTTAATGCCAAGTGTATGTAATCTGCTGTCTGCTTGTGCTTTATTATCATAATGGCGAACTTTGATGCCCAGTGGATGTAATATGCCATAATTTCTTTATTGTATAGTATAGGTTTTTTCTTATTCACGATGTTGCAGTTATTTTACTGTATATATATATCCTGTCTTCGTAGTAAACCGGCCAAACCGTAAAATTACGGTACATAATCGGGCCGTCATGCAATCACGATGTAGGTTGGGCCTGAAACGTGCCGATCAGCTCACAGGCCGGCAGCAGCCCGAAATGAACCCCGGCCCATGATTGTGCGAATCAAATCACGGGCTTTTAACAGGCCGAAAAATTGTCTCGGTCCTTGTTTGGCCCAATCAGATATCGGCTGCGAGCAGGCCGGATGCAAACCGGGCCGTAGTTAGGCCCAACTATATGAATGGCTTTTAACAGGCTGAAATTAATATAGGGCCGAAATGTTAAACGAGCCCTTAACAGGCCAAAACTAATATCAGTCCGAATTATTAAGTGGGCCTTTAGTAAGTGGGCCCAAAAGCATAGTGTCCAGTTGACGGACCGAATCTGATACAGGCCATAATTGAGCCCAAAGCCTCTTAAAGGGCCGGACCTGATCTGGGCCGTAATTTGGCCCAGAACGTGGTAGGCCTTTAACGGGCCGGATCTCATATGGGCCACTATTAGGCCTGGAGCGTGGCAGGCCATTAATGGACCGGATCAAATATGGGCCGGCATTTGGCCCAAAACATGGCAGGCAGTTAATGGTCGGCCTACTAGGGTCCACAAAATCTTGTGGGCCTACAGCTGGGCCGACCCGTTAATGTCGGCGAAATCTCGTGGGCCTTTAGCTGTGCCGGCCCATTATGACCCACAAGAATCTTGTGGGCTTTACCTGGGCCTGCCCATTATGGCACAAAAAAAATCTTGTGGGCCTTTACCTGGGCCAGCCCATTATGGCCCGCAAAATCTTGTGGGCCTTTAGCTGGGCCAGCCCATTATGGTCCACAAAATCTCGTGGGCCTTTAGCTGGGCCGGCCCATTATGGTCTGCAAAATCTTGTGGGCCTTCAGTTGGGCCGGCCCATTTAAACTTGATGGGCCGGTCCACGTGTCAACATATCATAGGCGCGTCTCGCCCATTGGATGAGTTGACACGTGTCTCCTCCAGCCAATGATGATTTTACACGTGGAAAATCCCCATTGGTCGGGGCTGTTAATGGGTTATCGGATCCAAAACCCGACCCGATAGCTTAACGGCGTTCTGTTACGGTGGATGCCATGTGTCGGTCACCCTTGATGAAAGCACTTCTGTGACGCGCGGTTTATTGTCATGGAAGTGGATACTTCCATGATGATAATTTTGGTAATGTCATGGAACACTTCTACGACAGCACATGTATGACTATCTTGATTCTGTCATAAATTTGTCATGGATGTACATGCAAGACAAAAAAAAGTGACCTACTATGACAAACACGTATCATCACGGAAGTGTATTTTTTTGTAGTGCATGATAAATGTTTATTATTCATGCCAGAATTGTATTAACCGAAAACATAGTAGATGTGTGAATACATAGACAAACAGAGTGTCCCTAGTATGCCTCTACTAGACTAACTCGTTAATCAAAGATGGTTAAGTTTCCTAGCCATAGACATGTGTTGTCATTTGATAAACGGGATCACATCATTAGAGAATGATGTGATGGACAAGACCCATCCGTTAGCTTAGCACTATGATCGTTTAGTTTATTGTTATTGCTTTCTTCATGACTTATACATGTTCCTATGACTATGAGATTATGTAACTCCCGAATACCGAAGGAACACTTAGTGTGCTATCAAACGTCACAACGTAACTGAGTGATTATAAAGATGCTCTACAGGTGTCTCTGATGGTGTTTGTTGAGTAGGCATAGATCGAGATTAGGATTTGTCACTCCGATTGTCGGAGAGGTATCTCTGGGCCCTCTCAGTAATGCACATCACTATAAGCCTTGCAAGTAATGTGACTAATGAGTTAGTTACAGGATGATGCATTACGGAACGAGTAAAGAGACTTGCCGGTGACGATATTGAACTAGGTATGATGATACCGACGATCAAATCTCGGGCAAGTAACATACGGATGACAAAGGGAACAACGTATGTTGTTATGCGATTTGACCGATAAAGATCTTCGTAGAATATGTAGGAGCCAATATGAGCATCCAGGTTCCGCTATTAGTTATTGACCGAAGATGTGTCTCGGTCAAGTCTACATAGTTCTCAAACCCGTAGGGTCCGCAGGCTTAACGTTCGATGACGATTTGTATTATGAGTTATGTGATTTGATGACCGTAGTTTGTTCGAAGTCCCGGATGAGATCACGGACATGACGAGGAGTCTCGAAATGGTCGAGAGGTAAAGATTCATATATTGGAAGGCTATATTCGGATATCGGAAAGGTTCCGAGTAATTCAGGTATTTTTCGGAGAACCGGGGAGTTACGGGAATTCACCGGGGAAAGTATTGGGCCTTATTGGGCTTTAGTGGAAAGAAGAGAAGGGCCAAAAGGGGAGGCAGCGCGCCCCCCATGGGCTGGTCCGAATTGGACTAGGAGGGGGCGACGCCCCCTCTTTCCTTCTCCCTCTCCTTCCTTCTTCTCCTACTTGGACTAGGAAAGGGGGAAACCTACTCCTACTAGGAGTAGGAATCCCCCCTTTGGGCGCGCCCCTTGAGGCCGGCCCTCCTCCTCCTCCCCTCCTTTATATACGGGGGAGGGGGCACCCCATAGACACACAAGTTGATTTCTTAGCCGTGTACGGTGCCCCCTTTCATAGATTTCCACCTCGGTCATATTGTCGTAGTGCTTAGGCGAAGCCCTACGTCGGTAACTTCATCATCCTCGTCACCACGCCGTCGTGCTGACGAAACTCTCCCTCGGCCTCAGCTGGATCTAGAGTTCGAGGGACATCACCGAGCTGAACGTGTGCAGATCACGGAGGTGTCATGCGTTCGGTACTTGATCGGTTGGATCGTGAAGACGTTCGACTACATCAACCGCGTTACTAAACGCTTCCGCTTTCGGCCTACAAGGGTGCGTAGACACACTCTCCATGCTCGTTTCTATGCATATCCTAGATAGATCTTGCGTGATCGTATGAATTTTTTTGAAATACTGCGTTCCCCAACAAATACTACTAGTACGGTGGTGTTTTGAACTACTTCTAGCAGCCTTTCCTCCGCCAATCGCGCTCAGTAAGAGGCAGAGGAGGAGGAGCCTACCGACGAGCTGGAGAAGTGAAATCCGGCGCCTGCCGCTGCTGCAGTTATAGCAACGCCCAAATCGAACGCCCTCTGCCACTCCAGATGACCCCTCTCGAAGCGGCGGGACTCCTCCTAGATCCCCGCATTCCACGCCATTGCGGCGGCTTCTGTTGCGGCCACGGCGGCAATGAGACTCTTTGCATGCTCAACTAGGCACTCCTCCTCCCACAGGAATTTTATGTAGCGCGCAAGGACGTTTACGGACATGCGGGCCTCCACCTCCCGCCTTCGGGCCACGGTGGCGAAGCGGGTGATGACCCCGATGGTCAAAGGTGGGGTGGTGGCCACGACGGCCACCTCCCGTCTTTGGGCCGCGGTGGAGCAAGTGTTGGCCACGGCGACCGATGGTGGGGTGGCGGTCAAGATGGCCACCTCCCGCCTTCGAGCCGCGGTGGTGGAGTAGGTGATGGCCCTGGCGGCCGATGGTGGTGTGGCGGCCACGACGACTGGCGGTGGGATACTTGGCTGGGACCGGCGGTGATTTTTCCTGTAACGAGTGATTGATTTTGCTAGGGATCTACAATGATGGTGGTTTTTGCTGTGATTGGCGATGGATTTTGCTGCGACCGACGACAATTTTTGCTCGAACAACGATGATTTTGATGCAATCAGCGGTGCGCCCTGAGCCACGACACAACAAGGGATGTTGTAACCTTGTTACGATGAGTTACAATCGTCCCTGATGGGTGTGGGCGGCGCTCGAGGCGTGCTCTCTCCTTGCGCGGGGTGTGATTTTGGGGCCAAATAAAAAAGCAATGTGAGGGAAAATTTTGACAGTTGGGAAACGACGCAATTGACACAGGGGATGCGTCCAGCCGAGGGGCTGGCGCCGGTCGACCGAAGCCTAGCACCATCCTTTCAGGGGGTATGAGGGGTTTTCTCTCTTCCATTTAGTTCAACTTATACCTGGCCATGGGCAGCCCGGCCCGGTCGGCTCGACCCGACCCGACTCGACCTTGTCCACGGGTCGGGCTCAGGCCTAGATTTCAAGCCCGACGGCTGGGCCGGGCCGAACCCGAACCCGTCGTATTCGCGCATTAATGAAGAGGCCCGACCCGAGGCACGGCGGGCTTTTAGCGTTATGGGCCAGGCTCGGGCCTGGGTTTTTTGCATTGGGCTTTGGTAGGCCCGGCCCGGCAGATGGCGAGGTATAGTTCAAATGATTGAAGGGTAACATCGACATTTAAGTCCAACTCTACAAACAAACAAAGACCCATTGTACCACCGTCTCAAAAGGGAAAGAAAGGGTGCGCCTTCTTCGCCACCGCCGATGGCGCAGTCGCTGGCGATGACGGCGATATCCCGCCTCCGCGGTGCCGCCACCCACTCCTGCGGCGGGCACTGGCGCCGCCTCTTCTCCCGCTCCCCCGCCGCCTGCGCTCCTCTCCTCGGCCACTTTCACCACCCCACTCCGACGCCGCCCAGTCCCAAAACCCTAGCTCCGTTCCCCGGCGTGCCCCCTTCCGCCTCCGCCTCCGCCTCGGCCTCGGCCCCCGCGTTCCAACCCCTCACCTCCTCCTCCCCGCGCCTCTCCCTGGACTTCATCCCTCCCGGCTTCTCCCTATTCGACTCCCACCTCGGCCTCCTCGTCCTCCTCAAGGAGACCGAGCCATACTCCTACCTCAAGCACCCCCAGATCCTCGTCTGCGACCCGGTCTCCCGCCGCACCGCGCTTCTCCCTCCGGGGATGGTCACCTGCACGTTTAGCAAGCTCGTAAGCGTCGTGATCCTCTCCCGCGACGCGGACGGCCCGGCCGGGTCCGGGCTCTGCTTCCGGGCAGCCGTCGTCACCCTCGAGGACACCACGCTGCGCGCCTTCGTGGCGACGTTCCGCGACGGCAAGTGCCACTGGGAGTGTCTGCTTCGGTCACAGGCGAGATGCAACGTCGACCAGCTGGAGCGCCACTGCGTGCGCGCTAGCCGGTACCTCATCTGGCACATCCGCGACGAAGGTGCTGTGCTCACATTTGACCCTGAGACTCTGGAGTTCGGCTTCGTGCTCGCGCCGCCCGCACTCGACATGGGGGATCACTTTGTCAAGTACCGCGTCGGGGTGATGCCGGACGGGCGGTTCTGCTTCGGTTCGATGTCAATGGATCACGAGAACCTGGAGCTCCGGGTGCTGGGGCCCGAGCCCAAGGACGGCCAGAACGTGTGGGTGCTGGAGAGGGAGGTGTGCTTGCTCCAGGCGTTCGATGAAATGCCGCAGCTGCCCTCGAGTTTCATCGCCCGGTGCAAGTGCACCTGGCTGAGCGACATGGATGCCGGGCGCACCGGGAGGGTGTTCATCGGCACGTCGGGCTATGGGCACTACTCGTACCATCTGGACAGCCGGAAGCTCGAGCCTCTGGTGACGGACGACGGCGAGGAGTACGGGCACCCCATGTTTGCCTACTTCTCCTTCCCGGGCTCCGAAGCCGGCTCTGACTGACAGACTCCTGGTAATTAATCATGTCCTCGCATCCCAGTTTCATGTAATGTCGGTTTATGAGTAATGCTTGGTCAAAGATATCTGTGTGAAGTTTGTTGCCTTGGGTACTTTGTTGAACTTGAACCTATATTAGTTTTATATATATTCGTCAACCCAGTTCATCAATAGTTTATAATTAGGGGAATATATGCATTCAAAGAATTTCAAGCTCTAGCGTGTTCTCTGATGATCATGTCGTGTTTACTGAAGCTTGGGTGTCTACTCGCAGAAGCTTCTGCAGATAGCATATGTTTTCGAGATCAAACTTGTACTGGAGAAATATAGCATGCATCATTGATGTACAATATTATCTCTGCTCCGAAATATAAGTCGCTGGGGGAGTTCAGTTTACACTCCCCCAACGACTTATATTTAAGAACAGAGGGAGTAGAAGATATGCATGTATGATTGTGGCAGTGTGACAATATTCATTTTTAATATGTAGAATTACAAGATGACTTGATTATAAAAATAACTTAAACTCAAGTGATCTTGGAAAAATTACATGCCAGGCCTGTAAAACTGCAATTGAAAATATTATTAATGCTTGATTCAAACACCTCCATATTAGAAAATGGAAATGCTAGGTCATCGAGGTTGATCAACAATGTCAACATTTATGTAGATCGATTTATGTAGTGATCTGTTTTATCCATTAACATAATTTGCAAAAATTTATCAATACGAGTAGAAAGGAAAAACATCTATGGATGAAGCGTCGACCATCCATGTATTTTCCAGAAGCGCATCTTAAAGAAGAGAAGCTATCACTACATTTGCACTAGGTGGGAATCTCTAGCAACAGCCTTCACCATTCTCATTGACATGCATAGAAAGAAGCTGATTAAATTCAGTTAACAGCAGGTACTACAGAAGAGTGTATTCCATAATTGTGTTGTCTGATCAAGTGATTAGGCATTACATCTGAGTTTGACTTGATGAATTTAGAACTGGACTGGTAACATGGTGATATGAATTTAGTAACTTTTCTCATTTCTATTCATATGAATCTGCACAATCTTCAGAACTTTTTTCAAGAAAGCACTTGCGTTATGTCCCCTTGGTCTGTAGAAGTAACATTTGGCCCGCGAACTCTGGTGAATATATGGCCTTTTTTAGTCACGAGTCATTTCTTAAACAAATTGGGCTTGTTATTCTCTTAGAGAACCCCTATTCCATTGGTTAGTTCACTGGGAACTGTGCTGATAACTCTGCATTTCTTATCATTCAGGGTGAAGTGAGAAGAGGTACCACGCGATTTTGCCTGAAGATGGCTCAACCGTTGCATTTCTGGTTATGTCCGTGCCGTATTACTCAGCATTGAAGATTGAACACAAAGAGGATAATGCTCTGAATCTCTGATTTCATGTCCTTGATGGGACTATTTAAACAATGTTGTTGCGATGTTTGCTAAGCATGCTTCGGAGTAGACAGTGTCCTGAAGAATTAGGTGATGTTTTGAAGTAGTGTGCTGTTTCGCAAGGATAGTTTCACATTATGCTGAGTTTTGTCAAACCATAAGAAATGCAGAGTTTATCACTTACTGGTCAACATCTTCAATTTGTGGGCTACAAGCCTACAATCCAAAATAGTCTATCAGAACAACCTATACACATTCTTGTATTGCACAAGTCCAAGAAATCAGTCTGTTTCGGATGGTTAAGCTTAAAACCTGGTCATTTGCACAATATTCCGGTTGCTTGTCAAACTGTTTTACTTCTTGGAACATGCACAGTCTAATGGATGAAATCCTTGCAGCTACGGACACTAGTGTCCAAGCCTGTAAGGATAGTTTGCCTCCCGCCCAAAAAGAGAAGAACAACACAAGTGATAAACAGAGGAAATTCAATGCATAATCTTTCTACCTGTATATGGACCCACCTGCAAACCCAAACTCGGCAGAACATGAACGGAAACATCTATGTATGTATGCATCCAGTTCTTTCACCGAACCAGAGGAGGAGATAGACAAAAAAGAAAAAGTTTTGATTGATTCATTCTGACCTCACCTATCCCTACTCATCATCATCATATTTCTACGTACCGCATCGGCCCTGTGCTACCCACAAGGCCACAAACTCAACTAGATTACAGGCAGACCAGACCAAACCCCACGACAAGGAAAAAAAGAAACACCAGCACCAACGAGAGTCACCAAACAGAATACACAGGGAGGGCACGCTGCCCGTGCGTTTTCCGAACTTTTTGCCTCGGAAGAAGAAAAACTGCTCCACGAACCAACCGGGGATGTACGACGGCCTATCCATCAGATCCAACGGCTATGCCGGCGGCGAGGTGAGGTGCGGTCCGGCCGCTTCAGCCCTGCGACTCTATGGGCGACATCATCGCCGAGAACCGGCGCTTCTGGATGCGCGGGGGGAGGTGCTTGTTGTACCTCTTGGGCCCCACCGTCCACGGCAGGAACACGCCGGTGCCGCCGCGCCCCATCCTCTTGTTGATGTTGCTGGAGGGCGCCATCACCATTGGCCTCGCCGGCGCGGCGACCATCATGACGGGTGCCGCGCGCACGGCCATGCCCCAAGCCGGGGCGAGCATGGCCTGTGGCGCCGGGCAGTAGCCGATGATGGCGCCGTTGCTGCCGTGAGGCGGTTTCTGCATGCCGGCCGTTGCCGCAGTCGGGGGAGGCTGCCAGAGCGTCATGGCCTTGGTGGGCGACGGGAGCGGGCTGAGGTCCACCGGAGTTGATGGCCTCACCCTCACGAACGTGATGCTCACGCGGCGGTTGGACGACGGGCACACGACGTGGCGCGCCATGTCCGCGCTGTTCCCGCGCATCACCAGAAGTGACCTGCAAAGATGATCCATAAACGTAAGATGCAAATTCTACTACTCCAATGCAAAGCTTTCTTCGGTTAGACGAACAGTAAGAGTAAAGTCGAAAAGAAAGTGGAAATGGCACTGACAAGGTTCTGGTAAGCGAAAGCCTTAAGCGTACATACCCTTGCTTCAGTGAGAGTGTGAGGGGTCCCTTGTAGTTGCCGTTGCTGTCAGTGACAAGTGACCTTCCAAATGCCATTGAGGTTTCAGACAGCAGGAGAGTGGAAATGGGGTTGTCCAGGTGGGGAGGCTTGAAGTAGGGCTGCGAGTGCTCGTCCTGTAAAACAATTTCATCACTTTCAGATACCAACACCTTAACAAGTTTCAAACATTTGAGTTCTCAATCTATATATGTTCATGCCCTGAAGAAAAGCACTGTGTGTTATATAGTGTAGTAGCATTGGTATCTTAGTTTTACTATTTTAGTTCATATCTATTGAAAGGACCAAAGATACTTAATATGGACAGTTGACCCTACAAGAACCCACTAACTGTAATGTGCAAATTTACTTTGCTATTTGTATACACAAGTGGCTGGTTCTTTAAGGGGCAGAAAAGTGTGTACAGACTAGCAATTCTACTCAGATTTGACCCACACATCTCATGACAGTACAGGAAGCAAAATCTCATTTGGTTTCATCAAGTTTAGTTGTATGATTATTCTATAATTAATCACCAACCGGCAAACAGCACTGCAGCACCTACCTCATCGAAGAAATTGATGATGACACTGTTTGGTTTCCTGCTTTCTGGTATTAAGCGCCAAAGAACAAGGTGGTCGATGACAGCCTGCAGGACAACTGGGATTGGTTCTATATGACCTGCACACAAGGCCAAGAGAAAACAGGTGTTAGTTATGACATCATGCACTAGGGCATCTTCTTTGTCCGGAGAAGCGATACCCATGCAAGGATCCCACACCCAAAAGAATATTCTTGCAACTGTAAGCAAGTTGGAGGAAAAGTAGTGGTATGAGCTGAAAGTTTTCCTGAACATACAATTGGTTTCCTCTGTGGTATGTTGAAATAGTGGGACACCGAGCTGAATGATCTCTCTCTTATTCCCTTTGATCTGCTTGTTGAAGAATATGAAGGTCTCACCTAGATTTGAAACTAGAGAATTAACATCACAACGATCAATGAAATGGCACAAGGGCAAACATGCCAACAGAGTGCCACAATTGAAAGACAGGGTAGCCGGGCGCACTTCACAAAGCTAACAAGAAAATTCTGTCAAGTTAAGGCAGCTTACTTGCATATGAAGATTTTGGCCAAAACACTAATGAACTATACCAACGTTGTGGGCTCTATGTCAAACCTTAACTGAATCATACTTATCAGAGATTAAGCAAGGCTAGCAGGTTGAGATTATACTTGGATCAACGTTTTGTGGTGCACACATTTGGAGGTGTTGTTAGAATTCCTATCCAATAAAGAGAAGTGATCTAACATGTTACTATATTTAATATATACATTCATGCCTAACTTTTCTTCTGTCATTGAGAGGCAACGTTAAAGTTAGCTCGGTGAAGAAAACTACACATCCAAATAGGCCAGGTATTATAGTCAGTGCGTCACTAGGTTGATGGTTGTACCTTCTCACATGCGAGTTTTACATTTCGTAAATTAGGATAACCGGCAGCTTTCTATGCAACAGCAAGTACTCAACTATACTAATTTAGCCTAAAAATGGAGAGATTTGTTAGGACCTAGAACCTGTAGGTACTGAGTCAGTTAGCACAAAAGTGCATCAGACAAAACCATCACCACCGTTAGAAAAAGTAGTAGTGCGCGAACTAGGACCACAGTTAGGTGCCCTAGGGATATTTGGTATCTTCAAAGCATCAATTGGATAGTATCAGAGGTAGTTGTGGTCTTGTGGGCACAACAGAAGTATCCCGAAAGGAATGTAAACAAAAAATAAGTAGGAAGATAAATTGCACCACAGAAAACAATGCCCAAATGCTCCAACGTTTGAACATTTAAAGAAGGAAAAAACTTCAGGGCCACAAAACACAACTTACCTGAAAGCTCCCCATTTCTACCAGCCTGGCGAATTTCATTGATGAAATCAGCAACCTTCATGAGCTCCATTGTTGTGAACACATCTTCATATATCTTCAGGCCTTTCACAACGTTAACCTGGTAACACAAGGTCATAAACATATTGTTAGAAAAGAGCACCTTTACAAGAAGTATATGATAAACTGGTAGATCAATGGGTGTGCTACTACTTCCTACAGCATCTCTAGTTCTTCAATACAGAAAGTTTGCCGAGTGGTGTAAAGATGGAACTCGCCATGTGCCCCTTCACGGACTCCTTCGCCATGAAACCTTTCTGGATCTTGATCCTCTCTGGGCGGGCGATGCACTCGTCGTGGTCAGAGCAGATAGGGTAGCTCTCTGGTAGGCTGTGCCCGCCTTGAGATCCTTGGTCGGTGTTATCTGCTGAGTAACATAAATCTCAGAGGGGTTCCAAGCATGGTATAACTGTGCATTTCGATTAGCGATTGCAAAACGCACAGAGTGTTTTTTAAGTATGCTATCTAGTTTCAAAAGAAAAGAAAACAATCCTGTGCTCCACTGAGAAAAGCATTAGCAAATGCAGCAAATAAATACGGAAGAAGTGCGTCATCAGTAAAATTCTGTTCTGGTTGGTTTATCCTTCAGCTCACACGGAAAAAGCAGGTGGTTGCATGAAGGTGTTCACAAAATGAGAAACGTAGCTAGCATGCTTGCTAGGCCACCAACGGCAGCTTTTGGACAGGAATCCTCTAACAATTTTAGAATACGAAATGTTTTTAGCCTCAGCTTTTCTCGCATGGCGTATTCTGATCTTCACCTAGTGGGTACAGTCACGCAGCAACAAAAGGTCTAGTTGATCACCCGTTTGATGTTTTGAACTTACACTAGACTAGATGGCTCTATCGTGCAGCACAGTTAGCATGATGCAGTTTCATTCGATCTTTCAAGATCACCATCATAACACAGGACGAAACTGAAATGACCTTGTGTGGAAGTTTTCCAAGGTGTAGTCGTAGTCCATTCATGTCATTTTCTACGGAGCACGGCGTGGAGAGAAAAGAGAGGCTGCCTTTCGTGGATGTAGAAAAGTGGGTATAACCGAGAGATTCTCTCGAGTCGAATGTACATGGACATTAGCACATCGGCATAAGTGTGGGGGCGACCGAGCAGGGACCAATACGCTGTTCAATTATTGCGAGAGGAGAAAAGCAGTATTGGGATGGTGATATCACAGCAGCCTCTCTATGTATCGCAGAACATCTCACTCCTTTTTCCTAGGCACAGGAAAACATGAGATTTTTCTTGCCCTCCCTTTTAAAAGGTGGGGGCCTCTCAGTTGTCAATTTGGAAGGGATCGCGGGAAATCTTTAAAAATGCTTCGAAGGTTGGTGGGCTTAGCAGGAAACCGACAAGGCCGCTTCAGTGATGATCACATCAGCTGAGCATATCATCGGCCCACATGCATATGCGACACTGGCAACGCTGGTGGCAACTTAGCCCAACCTAATATAAGTTATCAATTCAAAATCTCGTGAGATAATCATAGTATAATCACGTGCTTAACACGCCCCTGCATGGCTGCACCACCTACCGCTGGCCCCTGCCTGAAGACTAACGCGAGAGCAGCCGCGGCCCACAGGTGTACGGTGTACCGATTTTCTCAGGACGGTCTTTCGAGAAGAAACGCAGCCAGAAGGGACCCGCGGAATGCCTGGTTGATTGGGCCGGGCCCAGCAGCCAGCGGCCGAGGGCGGGCCACGTGTACAGCGCACAGTCGGAGGAGCGGCCACTTCGATCGGCATGGCACCAGATCCAGCCAGCCTCGGCCGGAGATCTTGGGCTTCTCGAACCCGATCCGGGTCCAGTCGAGTCGCTCTTCGACACGTTCAGGCCGTGGTGGAAAGGAGGAGGCGTGCAGGGATTTAATTTCCCACGGTGGCGGTCATGTGGGTCCATTAACTCGCGGCTCCTTCCGCTTGATTGCGATCAGACGGGTCGTCGCCGCTGGCGCCAGGCTCTGAATTCTGACCGGGGTGACGCCCTCCTCATGAGACCCACGCCAATACTACCAAGGGAATTGTACTCGCGTAGGCCACGCCTCCGGCTGCAGGGCATGTCTTCCAAAAGTCCTGTAGGAGGCGCTGGGCAAAAGACTCGTGTTTCCACTGAAACTATACCATTGAATTCTAGCCGTGTGTCCCCCCAAGGGATTCCTGGCACAAGTTATTATGCGTGGCAATTCGAATTGGTACAACTTGAAAAAAGATTATGGCGCATGATTTGGTTCCTATGCTCTTTGCAATCACTCGCGTCGCTCTCATAGTGACAGTGAACTAACCTGATGAGCAATTTCTTTAAAAAAAATATAAACATGCATGTTGTATCATGACAATTCAGAGTATTTTATTCAAGACAAGAGAAAATTATTCCCAATGGAAAAAATGTCAACTCTTACGTGTCCAACTTTGTAGCGACGCGACAAATGCAACCATGGGCAGTCAATCTCGAAAACAGAGACGACAAATCAAAACTCATAAAGTTCGCCCGTTCTGGTAAACTTTCAAGTATCTTCATTGATGTTCTTTTCTTGCGTGTAAGAAATGCATTCCCGAATCTCCTACTCTCTTTTTTTTTGACCTGGTGACAAAGCGTGATCGTTCGTCACCCCAGCCCAAAGATGAAGATGGCAGACCTCATCCCGAGCCGCGGAGCGCTTGAAAACACAGCCAGAAAGTTAAAAACAACTCCAAAGCAGAGAGGTTCAAACTCGGTGTCATCGCTAATTAATCTCCTCATTCAAAAGGGGCGAAGGATGCAAAGGTTTTGTCGAGACCGGCGGTGCCAAATCTGGTGACCCCGGGGGCACATGCTAGCCAGACTCACCTGAAATATTTTATGCTGCCCGCCCTCCGCGACGCTACAGCCTAGCATCGCTGGAGCATATGCCCCATGGCAGCCTGTTGGCGCCCCTCGCCAGGCCGCAACACACAACGGTGGTGCCCTCGATGCCGCTCGAGTGGAACCGCCGCGAGCTGGCTGCCGGCCGGGAGGACAAGGGCGTCAGAGTCCCCGCCACGGCGCGGCACGTTTTGCACCCCCGACAGGCGATGGTAGTACGTACCAGGAGTACATTAATTTGGCAAAGCCCCCACACCAAAAGTAAACACATGAGCTAATTACTGGTGGCGGGTAGCGGCCGTACTGGTCAGTACTTTCCCAAAAGGGTGGCCGGGCGAGGAGGGTGCGTGCGAAAAATAAAGTTGGCGCACGGAAAGAGAGGGGGGGACGGCGTCTGGAGGAAAGCCGTAGGGTTTTGCAGCTCCAGCGACCTCGTGATGCCGTTTCGCGGGCCGCCGCCGCCGCCACGGGTGGACAGGATTGACCGGCCGAGGCTGTCCCCGCCGTCCGATCCTCCCAAGGAGGACTGAATAACTCCGCCTCTGGTGGGGCTGCGCGGAAAATTATTGGCACTCTCGCCCCAGTTTTTCCCCCTAACCACCAGACGTACTGGGCCCGGTACGTGTGGGTTCGTCGAACTGGCGTGAATACTACTATTAACGATGCCGCTTTAGCACAAAAAAAAACTAGGAGGAGGAGTGCCATAAAGAAAACGTCATTTGGAAGCCTAATTCGGCCCCTTTTTGGTTATTAGGTCCCAATAAAACGGGAGATATTCAAGTGGGAAAAGCTTGCGGAAGAAACCACAGGCGAAACGAACGACCAGATCCAACCGTCTGTGGAAGGGGGGCCAAAACGGGAGATCGGTTCGACAGACAGATTGAAACTAACGGAAATTTTCAAATGCGGCCGGAAAGGGAAATCTTAAGGGGAAAAAGGGTAAATAACACTACGCGCACACGAGGATTAATTAATAGAGATCACTCGAAAAAAAACTTTAATAGAGATGATTGTACTTACGTCCGTCGTGGGCGGCGTCGTCTTCCGTGGAGGCTGCCTTCCGCTCCGACGAATCTCCCGAGGAATCTTCGCCGTCCGCCTCCGGCTCGTGGTCCGCCGCGACGGGGTGGACGGCGACGACGGGGTTGACGGAGACGTCGGGCTGCGCCTCCGGTATCGGCTCGTGCTCGCGCTCGGGCTCGGGGTCCGGCTCCGCGGCAACGGTGACGACGAGCTCGTCCATGGGCTCGTGGATCACCGTGGACGCGGCCTCCTCCTCGGAGTAGGCGGCGGCCGCGGCGGCGCGGGCCTCGGAGACGCGGCGGAGCTCGGCGGCGACGTCGGCGACGGAGTAGAACTTCTGCATGTGGATGACGGGGAACCAGTTGAGGCGGCGGCGGTGGAGCGCGGCGAAGACGGCGTCGTAGTCGGCCCCGCCGATCTGCGCGAGGTGGCCGCAGAGCGCGTCGATCACGGCGTTGGCGGCCGCGAACTCGCCGCGGTACCACCCGATCACGGCGTCTCTGGCCGCCACCTGATCCGGCGCCGCCACCGGTGACCCCGGGGCCCCCGCCGCCGGTGTCGTCATCCCTCCCGCGATCGCCAGGCTACCCACTCCCCCGCACCAACCACCGGCTATCCCTCCCTCCCTATCGATCCCCTGCCCGTATGATGCGTGGCGCTCTCTCCGCCCAAGCTTTTTGTAATGGCGTCGAGGTGTTCGACGGACGCCCGGCCTGTTCTAAATCGGCTTGGTATTGTGGGGAGCGCTTCTCTCTCGGGGGCGCGCCTATAAATACCCCCGGAGAAGAAGCGGCCGAGGGTACCCGTAGCCAACAGCGCCCAGGGGCGGGCAGGGTGACGTGGCGGGGGATTAGCGGGTACGGGCGCAGATCCGACAAGGCGGTGGTGGCAGTAGTTAGTTAAGGTCAGCCTCGCTTTATAGGAGGCGGCTCGACTCGACCCGGCCTACGGGGGCGCGTGTGGACCGCGCGCTCGCTCCCTCCGCAGAGATGGGCTGCGCCGCGATTCGGCGCACGGGGACGTCTCTCACCGTGGCGGATGGCCTGGGGATGCGCGGCGACGGCGTGCGCCTGGTCCTTGGGCCTTATCATGGACCGCGACACCGGGTGGCCATGCGGGGGAGCCTGGTTGGACCGCGCACCATCCCAGCCGTCCGTTTCAGGGCCCCGCATCCTTGTTCGGTTTTTTGTTCTTGTTTGTGCAAGACATGATTGGGTACAGGCGAATACGGAAGGATTTTTCTCTATCGGGTGTAAGAACCGCGTAAGGATAGGCTGTAATGTGCAAGGGTAGAGCCCTGTTTTGGCAAGTAGGTAATTTGATCAATGAATTATCCAGCTATTTGCATGCTTTTCTCAACAACAAGAAAAGGTATTTGCATGCTTACCAATTTGTGAAAATCACGCGTTTTGAGATTTGAAGACGGGGTAGGCAGAATGCATTGGATATCCACAATGGTTTTGACCATCTCTTAGATTTATGTGTATGATTTTTGTAGGGTTTGGCCTTTTGTTGCGAAAATAAATGGCCACCCGGCATGATCACGTCTAAGAGATCGGTATTCTCCATTGTACGACATATCTTCCTTTCATTAGATGTGTTTTTCAAAGAGAGAGGGAAAGATAGAGAGGGCGGGGGGCTATGAATATATGTGTGTATGTATTAAGATATGGAAGAGATCTTTTGTTGCAAGAGCATTACAGGGTACAATCGTAGTCACGCACATAATCTTTAATGCCTACAAGCTTTCAATAGCAACCAATGCACTCATATTCGTAGTAGAACATAGGCCCATGCCTCATGGGCATAGGTGAGAAGGGGCGACGAACATATTGTCAATCAACTCATTCACCCGACGATATGAGCAAAGACAATGACTGGTGGGGCAGTGCTCGGTCAAATGATCACATGTCCAACAACAATTCAACGATGCGGTTCATGCAAACATCTTAAACCTCAGCGACACCCATGGTTTTCGCACAAGATCGACCTAGCTACAGTTGGTTGGTCCTACACAAATCACGCGAACGCCAACGAGTAAAGTGTTCCCGCATCTGATTTTATTTGCCGCATAATTATGCATATTAATTGCTAGAAGATTTCAGTCGTCACAACCGATATCAATGTCGTCGGTGGTCGTGAAGGTAGCTTGTGACTTGTGATTTTAAGGTTGTGGGGTTTTTCTACAACCAAATAGAACGAAGCATGCATAGTGTAATAGAGTTGAACACTTTCCTAAGGCGATCACCACGCTTGGTGTTGGCTTCTCTCCACGGCAAGAAGATGGAACCGTTTGGCTAGGATGGGCCAACATATGATTGTTTATATATTACGATACAGAAGAGGTTTTTTTTGTTACAAGAGCATTACAAGTGATGACCCTAGTTACGCACAACATCCTGAAACCCTATTCATGCTGAAACCAACACATTCAAGCTATCATTTGGAGATGATGTAGGTTTCGACGGCAACCAACATCCTTAAAGCTCTTGGTAGTCATGAACTTATGTTGCGACTTTCTCCTAAAGTTTATGTGATTTCTTTCCATCAAGATAGAGCAGAGCACACATAAGGCAAGAGAGAACCCTCCCCTAAGGCAAGCTTCACACCAGATGCTAGCTGTCGGTGTCAAAACCGGCCGATCTCGGGTAGGGGTCCCGAACTGTGCGTCTGAGAATCGAAGGTAACATGAGACAAAGGGGACACGATGTTTACCCAGGTTCGGGCCCTCTTAATGGAGGTAATACCCTACTTCCTGCTTGATTGATCTTCATGAGTATAGGGGTTACAAGAGTTGATCTACCTCGAGATCGGAATGGCTAAACCCTATATGTCTAGCATATATGAATTCTAATAGCCTCTACGGACTTAAAACCTCCGGTTTATATAGACACCGGTGGGGCCTAGGGTTGTACAAGGTCGGTTTACAGAGAAAGGAAACACATCCAGACGCCAATCGTGCCATCCATGCAAAGGAGAGTCCTATCCGGGCACGGGGGAAGGCCTGCTACCTTGTATCTTCACGGCCCATCAGTCCGGCCCATGTCACATAGCTCGGACACCCGAGGACCCCATAATCCAGGACTCCCTCAGTAGCCCCTGAACCAGTCTTTCGATGATGATGTGTTCGGTACGCAGATTGTCCTCGGCATTGCAAGGCGGGTTCCTCCTCCGAATACTTCAAAGTGGTCTTCTGAATAAGAGATCTGTATCCGGCTCTGCATAACAGCCACAACCCTCGACCACGAAGGTAATATACTTAATCAAAATAAGGCTTGTCAACTAACAACTTTTTCGGCAAAAACGTTAGGTTTGGCCTCTTTATCATTTTGAAACCATTTTTAACCTCCCGCTTCACGTTTCGAGGCGCAACCTCTATTGACACGTCTTGTCAAAGCAGAGATCGTGTCCCCTTATTGCGGGATTCTCATCAATACAGGTTTGGGTAATCCAACCGTGCCATTCGCACGACCCCTTGGGAATAGGCGAGTTTTAAGGCTTGTGGGGGGGGCTTGATATTCACTGCCTATATAAGCGGATAAAGATGCATCTTTTTACCCCATGCCTTCTTCTTCCCTGTGCTTCCCCAGCCTCGAGCTGCAGCACCCAAGCATCGATCTTTCCCACCGCCCAACCTCTCCAGCCATGGCCGGATCTGGCTCGCAGGGCAAGTGGATGACCTCCTCCGTCATGGAGAAGAAACTTCGGGAAGCGGGGTACCTGGCTGCGAGTATCGCGCACATGCTCCCTGCCAAAAAGCAGATCATTCCTACTCTGGAGCCCAGCGAGAGAGTGGTGTTTATCCCTCACTTCCTCCGCGAACTAGGGTTTCCTCTCCACCCTTTCGTCCGCGGCCTCATGTTCTATTACGGGCTAGATTTCCACGATCTAGCCCCAAATTCCTTGCTCCACATTTCGGCGTTCATCGTCGTGTGCGAGGCGCTCCTCCGCACCCCCCACTTTGGCCTATGGCTTAAGGTCTTCAATGTGAAGCTGAAAGTGGTCGATGGGCAACACGCGAACTACGGCGGCGCCATGGTGAGCAAGATCCCCAATGTCACTTGGCCCAAAGGGGCCTTCATGGAGACTGTGAAGGTATGGTAGCACGAGTTGTTCTACATCACCGAACCCCGCAGTACCACATGGACATCCACTCTTGAGTTTAAATTCGGACCCCCAATGCGGCTTGCGTCGGGGATCAACAAGGGTCTGGACTGGGCGTCGTCTGACGAAGTGGTGGTGCTGCAAAAGCGCATCAAAAATATGATAGAGAAGAACACCAGTCTCACCGATGTGATTCAGGTGATGATTTTCCGCTGGATCCTCCCCTGCCAGCGCCGGTCTCTCCACATGTGGGACTTCAATCCAGAAGGGTCGCGGACCCTGCAGCGATTCTTCGGCACAACACACGAAGAGATCTGGAAGCTGCTCTTCAAGGCCCAGAAGACGTGGCCTGAGACGGCCGATGACATCGGCCTTGGCAGCGCGCATCCGGCCACCCCGGTAAGCATTTAGTTTCCGAACATAACTTCAGTTCGTAAATCAAAAGGTATGCTGAGCCTTCCATCCTTCAATCTGGGCTAGACAAAGAAGGCGGAGCGGATCAAGTGTTTGGCTCCGCTACCCGAAGACCCAGCCATTCCCCTGCTAACGAGGATGCTGGTCTTGGCGCCGTATCAGGCGCCGGAGAAGAAGGCCAAGAATAAGAACAAGGAGGCTAAAGGTGGCCCCCGCCGTAAAGGCACTTCGGACGCTGTGTCCGGAGAGACCGAAGCACCCTCCTCCCACTAGGGAGATGAAGATGGAGAGGAGGAGGCAGAGAGCGATTCTCCCCTTAAGGGGAGGAAGAAGAAGAGGGCGGCCTCCGTAGACCCGGAGGCAGGGACGTCCAAGAGAGGGAAAATATCTCTCTCGGACAGCTCGGGTTTGGATGACGAAGTCATCCCCGAGCGGCGCCCCAGGATGAAGCCCCAGACCGCATCGTAAGTATCCGAGATGCCTTACATATAGCCAGTCTTTTATGATTGTAGGATAACATGTTATATTATGCATTTCAGTCCGGCCCGTGACCTTCCCCAACTATCATCATCTTAGGGGAACTCTCTAGCGCCGGAGATGGTGGAGAGCGAGACGCCTCCACGAACCTCCCCGCCACACACCGTGGATGATACCGAGGTGTTATCCCAAAGGACCTCTCAGGGCCACGGAGAAGTGCGGAGGCCACCAAGATGACGCCAGAGGGTAATGTCCTCGGCTTCTGAGAACATGGGGGGTACAACCCCCATGGAAGCTGACGACGGGGGCCCTGACCAGTCCGGCCCCCAGCCAAACACCATTCCAGAGACCCATGTGGCTCCAGAATCGAGTGAGCAACCCCCTTCAAAGGAGGGGGGAGCGCCAACTCCGGCGGCGACCTCCACTAACCCGGAGGCGCCGAACACTCTGATGGAGGCACTGCAACGCGCTTCCATCATGGAGGAGCACCGCAGCCTGATGGGTGTGGTGGTTGAGAAGGTTCAGTCCGCCAAGAGCGGGCTGAACAAAGCCTTTACCAGCCTGCTAACA